CATCTGTGGATATGTGCTATTAAGTTTATATTTCAATTTAAAAAGACAAGCATCTGAGTGTTCCCACTGAAATTTAAGTTACTGAGCTCCATTGCTCTTGCTGAATATGCTGCCATTCTTCTAACTAACCTGGCACATCCTTCACATCTGTCACATCTATGACATGAAAGTGCACATCTTACTCTCTGAGATAGTAATTATTGTATAATATGTGCATGATTCTGAAGTTGAATGGAAATTTCCACATGTTTTTTAAAAAAATGCCCAATATCACAACTTGAACACACAAACCACAACTTAAAAACTACACAGCTCTTGCATGCGTTGGGTCTGCCTTATCAGCATGTACCTTTGAAAAAAACTTGTCCTGATGGAGCATTGTGGACTTTGTAAATAGTTGATAAATCTGGGTTGGTTAACTGAATTGATAACTACATTTTGTATCCTTTTGAGACAGAAGATTGTAGACTATTTCTGGTTTACTGTGTGTGAGTACAGCCAAGGCATAGACCCATGAGCACATTCCAGCTGAGGTAGAGGAGGGTCTTGTCTAACTATAAGGTCTTGTAGTCAACTCAACAGCACTTAACAACAACAACATAAGTTATTATCTCCCCTGACATCCCCTGACTTAGTCAAGATGATAGTAATAAGCAAAACCCCAAACAGGTGATAGTATTATGAATGGAATATAGACTTCTTGAATTTTGTCCCTGAATTGATAGTTGCTTCTTAAGATTTTTTTTTTTTCTGACAGGTATTTTCCACTGGAAATGAAGCAAATAATCTTTAAGAGGAATCCTTAAGAATACATAGTGTTAAGAAACTGCACTGTAAATCCAAAGGAATATGGTTCAAATTTGCCAGCTGGTCCATGGAAGAAAGATGGGAAATCTCTTCCTATATAGATGATCTACCGCTCTGAAAACCCATTGCAGGGTCAGCTATGAGTCGGTTCCTACTCAACAGGATATAACAATAACAACATGAAGAATTAACAGCTCCTAATGAAACCATAGTGTGGACAGTGATGACTAAGATAATTTAAAGTGAGAGTGAAATGCACAAAGTTATCTCTAGTCTATTGTTTCCAAGCACAGATTAATTTACTCATGGAGTTATTTTATGTATCTACTAAAAAATTGGCTAGAGCACAGCCTGAGCTATATAGCCTGCTCCAAAAACAAGTATCTGTCTGGATATCTGCATATATTATTTCTATGTTTACTTATACATCAATACTTTTGAGTTCTTGCTATTCCAGGCCCTATGTTAGGTGTTAGGGATACAGCACTGGACAAAACAGACAGGATTCTACTTCCTGAGTTTACAGTGTCGAGTGTGGGACAGGTATTAAGTTTAAACATCACATAAACCAATGTACAATTTTGTATTATTTGTATTTTATGGGTTAGGGGGAAGGAGTATACAAGATGTAACCTCATTTTCTTGTTCAGGGCTTCTCTGAGGTAGTATAATTTGGGCTTTGATCCAGGATGACCAGAATTTAACAAGGCCAAATGTAAGAGGAGTTTCTAGGAAGAGGGGAGAGTATGTGTGAAGAGCTTGAGAAATGAAGAGATTCAGTGCACTTTGGAAACAAAAAGGAAGCCAATGTGAACTATTTAGGTGAGCAAAGGAAAGAATAAAATGATGCAGTGTTTAAGATGCAGGCAGGGGCTAGATCATGCACAGTCTGAATGCTAGGTTAAAATTTTGCATTTTATGCTAATGCAAAAAGAGAAACAGAAAATTTGATGTAGTATATTAAGACTTTGGAAGCAGGAGTGGCATTGACTTCCTAAACAACATGCCTCCGGAAACACTATGAACTTTGATCCATGTCGATACTTATAGAGGAGCTTCAGGCCTTTTGTTCATAGGGTCCCTATGAGTCGTGCTGGACTTGAAAACAAACAACAACAGCATATTTAGACAAGATTATGAGGACAATAGTGGAAATAGTGAAACCTACTAGGAAGGAATTGCAAATAGGGGATAATGGGCTTTCAACTAGAGAAGTGGGGACAGAAGGAGAGAAAAGGAAACAGATTTGCCCTATATTCTGGAGGTGACTTAACAGAGTTTGAAGACAGACTGAATGAGGAGCATGAGGGAGAACAAGGTCTTAAGGATGATTACCAAGTTTCTTAATCTAGCAGATTGTATAGATGTACCCGCCATTTACTGAGTTGAGAAAGTGTGAAGGAGGGGCAGAAATTGAATGGAGGAAATGGGATACTATTTATAGGAGATAATAGATACAGCTATGGAAGGTTTTTCCTAGAAATGAAGGGCAAAATAATTTTAAAAGGAAAGAAAAAAGAGAAAAGGATTTAGAACAGAAAATAGAATTCTTAGTGGGGTGGTGGGTGAAGGGAGGTGCAGACACTGCATATCAGAATTGTCTTGAGTGTGCAATTTGGAACATTTTCAACATTAAATGTATTTTTTAGGTGAAGAAAAATATGCTTTTCAAAATGCAGAGTAGTAAAAGGAAATGCAAAACAAATTTATTTGATAGCTATGCAAAGAAAAGTCTTTATCATATGTTTATTTGGTGACATTTTAGGGAGGAATATATAAGACTTTCTATTAGGGTGGAGAGAAGTCAATGTAACATAATAATTAAAGGTTATGGGGGAGATTTATTGACACTGAACCAGAGGAACAGGAATGGGAAAGTAGAATAAAAACAAAGAAAAGTGAAGAAAAGAAGGAAAAACAGATGGAGACTTTTTCCAGCAGGCAAATAGGTCTGCCATGGTGCTTATGTTGATGCAGGTGCAAAACAGACTGCCAGGTAGAAGGCTGCCTGAGTCGAAATCCTAGCTTTGCCAAATTGTCCAGGTAATGATCTTAAATCAGTCAAGCTACTGCTCAAGCCTATTATTTCCTCATCTATAAGAACAAAGATAATGATCATGTCTACCTACAGGGTATTTGTGAGGACTCAAAGGAGCCCTGGTGGGACAGTGGTTAGAGAGCGACCATTAAATGATAGATTGGCAGTTTGAACCCAGCAGCCACTCTTCAGTAGGAAGAGGAGGCCATCTGTTGCCAAAAAGATCTACAGCCTTCTACATTCTACAGGCTGTTCTACTCTGCCCTACTGGATCACTGTCGGAACCAATTCAATGGCAATATGTTAGTTTAAGTAAACAGTTCACAAAAAGGGCTGAACAAAATGCCTGGAACAGGGGGAAACTGACGTTACGTTATTGTCTACGATATGTAATTAGTAGAATGCCATTACTTGAGGTGTGTGCACCTTTTTATTTCCTATGACTACAGCAACTTTGCTCCCTTAGCTTAAAAATTGTGGAGTTCACTGTATCAAGAAATAGGCTTTTTTAAAAAAAGAAAAGAAAAAGAAATAGTTTTTGTAATTCATTAAAAATATGGAGGGCTTAATAATTTCAAAGCATTCTGAAATTTTATTAGGCTATAATTGTTGCAAATTAGTGAAAATGTCCCAACTGATTACAGAGCCAAAAATATACTTTCTCACTTATTTTCAGAAATGTTAAATATGATTTAAATTTTGTTATTTACTTTCCCTGGAGAGTCTATTAATTTACTTATAAATGTACCTTGGAGAATATCCCAAAACAGAGCTGGTTATTTCTCAAAGATGCATTTTTTACTTGGTATCGTTCTTAAAAAAAATCTATTTTTCTCAGTCCTCTTGATATTGTAAAGGAAGCTTTATGCCTTAAGGATAATGAGTTGAGCTGCCAACCCAAAGGCATGCATTTGAATCCACCAGCTGTTCTATGGGACAAAGATGGACAGTGTGTGATTTACTGGCTCTGAAAACCTGCTGGAGGATCAGCTATGAGTCAATTTTGACTCAATAGTACACAAATACAATAATGTGAAGATATATAAAAATATTAGGTATTGAAACATAACTATATAAATACCCCATTAAGTGTAGGCTATGAAAATCTCTCATTTTAGACTGAATTGTGACCATTCTATCAAACACCACATACACTATTTGTCTTACTTTCCTCTTTTTCTGATGGGAAGATATGGGAGTGGAATCTACTTCCTAAATAACTTGCCTCTGGAAACTCTAGGGACTTTGGTAAATGTCGATAGTAGTAAAGGGGCTTCAGGCCTTTTGTTCATAGGGTTGCTATCAGTTGTGCAATCAAAAACAACATATACATGTGTTAGAATATGAATACAGAATTATGTCCAACATTTAGACTTAGAGCAATTCATTTACAAAGTTGTTGAAAGACTCAACATATTCTCAGCTCAGATAGAAATTCCTCATCAATTATAATGTCAATTTCAAGTTAATAAATAAATGCTCTGAGCTTCTGTTTCTCATATCAAATGACAGCATTTATGTAAGGGATGATATGAAAACTAGCATAGCAGCACTGTGTAAAGATCAAGATTATTTGTGGTTAGACAGAACTAAATAATTCTGTGTTTTTGGACAAACTGCCTATTTCCTCTAGGAGGCATTTATTCATCTCATGTGTTTAATGGTAATAGCAATATTTATTTCTGTGAAACTTATCTTCCATAAGTATACACAGAAAAATCTCATCTATCATCTGCCTATTGGTGAGGTTTTGGGAAGGGATTTTTCAAAATCTCCATTAATGTGCAAACAAAGTGTTTATTTGTCATTAGTTCAAGAATTGTCTCTTTTGCCCTTCTATGTGAGGAAAAATGGTGTATATTCCAAAATACTTTTGGAAAAAATAGAATGAATATCTTATTAAAATGTGTGGAAACCAAGAATATTCAGAGCTGACATGACCATGTTGAGCACCCCATGGTCACACACATAAAAGGGTTGGGAGGGTGGGCAATAGATTAATTTCTCCCAAAGGAGATCAGAGAAATAGTCTCTCTCCTTCCTGAGGAGGTGGCTGGCAAGTGGAAGGGAAGCGAGCAGAGGTGGATTCTGCCCATTCATCTTTGTGGAAGCACATGCAGCACTAGAAGATGAGGTGAGGAAGCGCATGCAGTACCTGGTCATCTCAGAGTCAGGGAGCAGGCCTAGGTGGTAGTGGGGGTAGGGAGTTGAGAGAAGGAAGCTTTTGTCACACTCAACAGGGGAATAGTGCCTGGGAGAAGCAGGCTTATCACACAGTTTGTTCACAGTGCTGTAAACAGGTTCCGGAGCCCTGGTGATACAAGAGGAAAAGAAAGATAGGCATGATTAGCATACACACTGAAAAACTATGCCATAGTAGCATTTCACCGCCTGCAAAAGGGAAAGTCAAGTATGATGTCATGAGCTTTATTAGCCAGAGTTAAGAGTAGGCGTCCTTGTAGGAAACAAGCTCTCTGGTTAGAAATTTGAGCTTTGGCTGACATTTAGAGCAAAGAAATTCTGTATGCCAGATATCTCAACACAGTCATGATCAACTGATAAATGTCATTTCTATTTGGATAATCTAGTCTGAAATGCAAAATTTAGAGATATTCTGCCTGTGCAGTTCTTTCTTAAACTTTAGTCATGTTAATTTTAAATTAATAGAGTCACAGACATCTTCCTCAACCACCTTGGCCAGGACATCCTGCTATTTTTCACAGAAGCCAGTTCATTTATTAACCTTTTCTCAGCATGGAAAGGAACTTTTTTTGCTTGTTTTGCTTAATTTGATATTATCTTATACTGTAATTACACCATGAATTTCATGAAGGCATAGTGGATTTCTTTTGTTATCTACTTTAAACAAAGCCCTAACATACAGTAGATATTCTATGAATATTTGTTGAATGTACACATAAGTGAATTAACGCATTCAACTTCCCATGCTGCATGGAGGGAAGGCTAGTCTTATCTAAGGATCATATAGGTTATGCTATCTGAGTAACTGCTCCACACGCTCATACACCCCCTTAAGAATTGGCTTCAAAGAGTTTTCTACAAAAGAGAAGTTATATTTTAGTATAATTTCCACCAATTTAATCTAAAAGATCCTGATACATTATCTGAAGTAGTATATTTACTATAGAGTTACTTACATGCACTGTATGATTAGATAAAATTTACATATTTCATTTCGGTCAAAGAGCCTTGTACTAAACAAATTCCTATTTTAAAAAAATTCTCAAAAATCTATATCCTATTTTTTAAACACAGGTCTTAAATGACAGATCCTAGAAGTTTAAGTTTGGTTGAAAAAGCAAGAAGAAGGTGAAGAAGCAGGACAATATCCATGGGACCATTTCTAGGTGAGGTTGACCTCATCCGCTTAGGGCCAGGACACATCAGGAATAGAAGAAATCATTCTAAAAGAGATAAGGATTGCATAACTGGTGAACTCAATAAAGGTTCAGTCCATGTTTCATTGCTTTCTGTACCTTCCTTGGAGAGGGACATGATGCTGGGAAGGGTGGAGGGTCAGCAAAGGAGAGGAAGACCATGAACTAGGTGGACTGACCCAGCGACTGCTGCAATGGGCTCTTGTGTATCAGGAAGTGTGAGGATGACACAGGATAAAACAGGTTCAGATCTTTTGTTCATAGGATTGCTATGAGTCGTACTCGACAGCACCTAACAACAACAACAACTACTTCCAATACCTAAAAAGACTAAGAATCAAACCTGCTATCTTCAAGTCTGTTTCGACCCATGGCAGCCTTCTCTTGGTTTTCTGAGATCATCAATCTCTTTGAGAGAAGACGACTGACTGTCTTCCTGGTGGATTTGAACTGTGCACTTTTTGGTTAAGCAGTCTACCACATATGATGCTATCCCCCTGGATGGTGTTAACTCTTAATATAGGACCCAACATAAACGTAATAAGTACTCAATGAATGCTCTCTGAACTAATAAAGAAAAGCACGTGGCAAAGGAGAGTAAGTAGAATATTAAACATAAATTTTACCTAATTTACAATATTATTATGGGATATCATAGATGCCTTAGACACATAGTCTGGAGAATTGATTATTACCTAATATAATGCTTTTTGTCATGTTGTAAGAAATATCTCATTCTGTCTTGTGCAAGATAGTGCCAGAGTTAATGAAAAAGAAAGAGATATGTTTGCCTTCTAGAATAATCACCTAAGTGGTGAAATAAGATTTTTTCCTACTTTTTTAACTATTATACTGGTTTATTTACAAAATTCAAATACAATTTTTCCAGAACAGATTCTTCCAATTTTCCTCTCCTCTCCCCCCATCAAGTTGTACAACCCTATGATTAATCCTCCCTCCCTTTCTTGGATCCTCATACTCACTCTACAACAATGGTTTTATACAATATTTGTCCTTGTTGTTAGTTCACTCAGCATAATGTTCTCCAGTCCTTCCTAAGCTAGGTAAAAATTTACAAATTCATTGCTCCTGCGTTCTGCATACTATTCCATTGTGTGAATGTACTATAATGTCTCAATCCATTCGTTTGTGGTTGAACATCTGGGCTGTCTCCATGTTCTTGTGATGCTGCTATGAACATTGGTGTACAAGTCTCTTTTTTGTACCTCAGTTCTCATTTTCTCAGGGTATATTCCAAGTAGTGGAATAGCTGGGTCATATGAAATTTCTATGTTTAGCTTTTTCCTGAAGCGTCAAACTGCCTTCCAAAATGGTTGTACCATTTTACAATCCCACCAACAAAGATTTCCTGTCTTGCCACATCCACTCCAACATTTATTACTTTCTGCCCGTTAAATTTTGCCACTGTTACTAGAGTGAGATGGTACCTCATTGTGGTCTTGATTTGCATCTCAGAATGAGGTACTTTGCAATAAAGTTGGTTTATCCTAAAAAAAGTTACGACTAAAGATATGTTTAGAGGAAAAATTCAAGGTTTTTAAGTGTGATGTTGTGGATGTGTACCATAGAGTAGGAACCAAGTCAGAGCGACCCTCCATTGAGTTTTCAGAGTCAGTTAATTGCATGAATAAAGACTGCCCATCCTTTTCCTCTAAGAAGCTGGTGGCCTCAAACCATGTACAAAATGGTTGATATTTTTCTTACTTTGGGAGTCTGATTTATATGCTCAGTTAAGATCTGTGCTCCAAATTCAGAAAAATGGAATGAATTTATAAATTTCTGTCAAACAACTCTAGTACTACAAATTGAGTTGATAACAACTGATGGCATGTGTATCAGAGTAGAACTCTATGAACGTCAAAGGGTTTTCAATGGAGTTATTTTTTTAATGTAGAGAGCCAAGTCTTTCAAGGGACATTTGGGTGGACTTTGATCTCAAATCTTAGTTAACTACAAAGAGCATTAACTGTTTGTACCACCAGGGATTTCTTGTCAATTAGATACATATATCATTAAAAATATTAAACTATAAATCATTAAAAGGGAGCTGTAAAATACTGCTGAAAAAAATTTTTATAATCAGTTTTTAAAAGTAATTAAATTTGTTACAAAATGTTCCACTTTTCCAGTGACCATCTGAAATATATCCTTTAAAAATAATTTTAAATTGGCTTTCATACAATAATTCACTTAACATTGTTTCATTCACATACATTGTGTTTCATACAATCATTCATGTACACTGTATTCCATATAATTTATTACATTTAGCTATTGATCTATGTCTATTTTCAATGTGTCTTGGAAAAAGTGCAGCCAGAGTGCTTCTTTGCGGCAAAGACGATTAACACTTTGCCAAACATTCTCTGCTTGCTTTTCCTCCAAAGACAGACTTGCTTGTTGGCAGACCATGGGATATTCAGAACTCTCCTCCAAGACCACAATTCAAAGGTATAGATTCTTCTTCTGCAATCATTATTAATGTCAAGTTTTCAGATGCAAATTAAGTAATTGAAAAGACCATGGCTTATATCAGTTGCACCTTAGTCTTTAAACTGACAGCATTTATCTTCAACATTTTGGAGAGGTCTTTGACATCATATTTTACCAATGAAACATTAAATATCTTTTAATTTCCTGATTTTGGTACCATGGATGTTTATTGTGGGATCAAAGAAGTGAAACAGCTGACAATGTCAGTCTTTTCTCCATCTCTTATCATGTCTACTACTCCTGTGATGAAGACTTTTGTTCTCGTGATGTTGACATGTAATCCGTATTGAAGGCTATACTGTTTGATCTTCTGTAGTGCTTCAGGTCCTCTTCACTTTCAGCAAGCAAGGCTGTGTCACAAATGTTTAACACAGATTGTTGGCAAGTTTTTGTCCAATCTTTTTTTTTTTTTAATTTAGGTTGTTTATTTTTCATTTCAATGAACATCTACAGAGATTTGGGGATTTCATTCATTCATTGTTGCACCCTTCTCCCCGCACATACCCCTCCCCCCTTTTGCTCCTCTCCTTGAAAAGCAAAAGAAAAACTCCCTCATTGGTACACAATCCCCCCACCCCTCCCCAAACCCCACCCCCTACCCCCAAATATAATCCACTCTGCAACCCTCATTGCATACTCCTACGATAAAAATAATGCCCTAAAATATAATACTTTTAGACTATTCTCTCCCCCATAGACTTCAATGCCGTAAACATATTTCATCCAGTTTTTCTCAGTCTTACCCCCACCCCAATGCCAGCCTCATTCTACAACAGTGGCACCATATAGCACTTGTTTTCGTCCAATCTTGATGCGACATTCTTCTTCATTATATAGTCTAGTTTCTCAAATGATTTGCTCAGCATTCAAATTGAACAGGTGTCAAGAATAGATAAAACCCTGACACATATCTTTCCTGATTTTAAAGCATTTAGTTTTCCCTTGTTCTGTTTGGACAACAACTTCTTGGTCTGGATATAGTTTTGGTATGAGCACAATTATGTGTTTTGGAATTTTCATTATTCTTAATCTTTGCCATAATTTGTTATGATCCATGCAGTCAAATGCCTTTACATAGCTGATAAAACTCAAATAAATATCTTTCTGGTATTATCTACTTTCAGCTAAAAATTCATCTGACTTTAGTGCCAGGGCCTCTTTTGATTAGGGCTTGATGATTGTTAAAGACATTAATAACTGTAATGAATGCTATAAAACAAAATGTCCATAAATAATTGAATGAAATTCCAACATGATTTATAAGCTTTCACTAAGATAAAATAAAAAAAAAAGAAATGAAGCAATCAATTGTCAGTTAAAAAATACTTGTGACCTTTAGCCTATAAAAAATCCCCCACCCTCCCAAACTTAGTGCTGGAGTCTTTATAGAAGTAGGTAT